CTGGCCTCCATGGAGGGGGAGGAGGAGGGTGGCTGGCAGCAGCCATGTGTGTGCAGGCTGAGCGGGAGCATGGACCTCGGGGGATACCCAGGTGCTCCCCAGGCCAGTGTGGGAAGGGGCAGAGACAAACCCACACCTCAACCTAAACCCAGCGCCTCTGCTCCCAAATGTGGGGGCATTTGTGCTTCGCAGCCCACTGACTTGGTGTCGCCCACCTCTCCCGTGGAGCGAGGCCCTCAGGCCGTCCTTTGCCTCTACGCCTTTTTCCTTCCCTCTTGGAAAACAGAGCCATCAAGAAACTTTCAACATTTGCCTGCCCTCCTACAGCTTTAGCAGGATTTTGTGACTGCTGGCACAGGGTGAGATGGTAGCTCTCTGTACAACTCTATGCATTAATCACAATTACTCTTCATTAGGACTGCAGTAGTATCGAAAAGCCCAGGCACAATTTTTGGGTGCTTAGTGGCTAAACCATGCATAAGAATACATGGGCCCCAATAATCTTGCAATGTAGTTTAAAACAAGACACAGTAAATGCTGGAAAATCAGTACAACACTGCAATAAAGATGAGATCAATGATGACAGAGAAATTGCTTTTTCCAAGTTTAAAAAAAAAAACCCAAAACATCCAACTGAGGAAGTTAAAGGGCACATCAGGGCATCTCCTTGTCTGCTCTGAAGTTTTTGTTTCACCCCAGTGTAAATAAAGAGGTTTACCTGGACTGTGACTAGAAAATTGGTCTTCTAGTCATATAAAATCCATTCTGCTGATCCCTTTAAGTCAGTATTATTTTCTTGTCCTATTCTGTACAAGTTTTTTTGATAACTTTAGTTTGCACCTCATTAGCAAGTACATTTTATCCAGCAGACAGAATAGAAGCCCTGACTGGAAGATGACGTCTAGTCTTTATCCCTGTCTGCTGCTGACGGACGTTGTGTTTAGACAGGAGTTTAGCATTTATAGCAAACACTTTTTTGACCAGGTCACAGCTTGCCACTAGTGGGGGGACACTGGCAAGTAAAAGGTCATTCCCATGGCCATTCGTTCACCGATAAGCCAGTACACACCAATGTTACAGCCCCTAGCTGGGTCCAAAACCTTTAATTGTCCTTTACCTGGAGGCCAAATAAAACTTTCAGATACCTTTGTCTGTCTACACATTAAAATAGGGCTTCGCTGTCCTCTCCTCCCTGCCAACACCCAAAATACTCTCCTCCTTGCTCCCATGCCATGCACCAGCCCCTGACACTTTCCTCTACATTGTGTACCCAGCCTTCACAGCCAAGGTTGCTCAGGGACACCATATCCACTACTGCACACACAGCACCATGCTGCCGTGTAGCATTTGCCTCTACTCATTGTATTTCTCCATGGCCACCATTGACATACTTCACTGTGCTTCCTTGCATACACCACTTCTGTTCTTTGTCCTTACAACCCCTACGCCAGAAGCTGCAGCAGCCAGGTAGCAGCATCTCATGGTACTTCCGTTACTCCTTCCTGCCCAGTCCTTCACCCTGCGGACAAAGCCCTTCCTAGCTGCTTTGTTGTGACAAGCCCTCACCAGCAGCTCTGGTCTTTGCCTCATGCAGCATAGCTCCGTAGCACAGGGAAGCCCTCATCACCAAGCCGTTGCCGCTACCATAGGGGAGAAGAACACTCAGAGTTTGAAAAGGAAGTCTGATGATGCAAGGATTCATTTGGCTGCGCAGCATCCAAAATAAAGTTTAAAAACATGGTGCGGACTCTAACTTTGTTTCCATTTTTTAACCACCAACCAAATTCTGGCACAGATGTGCTGATACTGAAAGCTAAAGTGTCATTATCAGTATGTATTGGGGGGGGAAATCAGTATTTTGTGCAAGATCTTCACTTTAAGAAGTTGAGAAGAAGTACGCTAATAGAATATGATGAAATACTATCAAGTGGTCTGCTGTCTTTGAAATGAAACTCATTGTATTTTGAAGGCCCAATAGCCTTCCGCTTAACTGGTCCCTAGCTTGCTACAGAGTCAAAATGTTACCACATACAATGTTGAGATAAGTGGGATCTAAACTATCCCAAGCATATTTCCAGTTTTATTGTATAATAACAACAGAAATCAGGTTTGATTAGTAAGATTAGTGCATTTTCAGAATATGCAACTTCTCTGTTACTTGCTGGCTGGTAAGCAAATAAATAGTGCAGTGTGAATTGAAACATATCTCTACTTTGAGCTAAATTGTTGCAATTTAATTTGTTTCTAACGAGCTTAGAGTTTGCAGATGTGTAGTCCAGTACTTGTGTAAAGGTACATTAGCATACATGCGAACTACAAAAGCAAGTCACCCTTTTATGTTATTTTCTGATTAAGACTAGACTGTCAATGCCTTTGCTTCAAACTGCAAAAGTATAGTGAAGACATGTTTCTTTTCTTTTTTTCATCTTGTTCCCTCAATTCAGTCCTCACGACCTGTAAAGATGAAAGATCAGGAGCCACTTGCCTCATACTTTTTCTGACAGAAAGAGCAAAAGGAGCTGAGGAAGCAGAGTGGCAGCTGGGCTTGGAGATGGGTTTGAAGTTTCTCCTAGGTGCAGCTCTGTCTTTTGGTACTTAAATTCTTCAAAAAGTCTGTATCTTTCCCCAAGTGAATGGTGACTTGTATTCCCTGTTTCTCCCTTTGAAAAGTACAAAGTGCCACACAGTCACTTAAGGCACGTGGTAAAACTGTAGCATATCCCTCAGCACTCAGAGCAAAACCCAAGGACACGTCACCCATAGGGCCAAGATGTACATGGCAAAAACCAACATGAAGTGGCACCGTGACACTTCCAAGTTATATTAACAGCAACCACCACCACCAAGCATGGACATTTCAACTGAAAAACAGCAAACATTTGTAAAGATTGGAAAAATTTATCCCCCTGAGTTTTAGAATTTTTGTAGAAGATTTAAAGACTTCTTTACAGAATTGGAAGATTCTGAAGGAAAAACAGGAACTAAACACCATCTTTGATAATAACCTTTGCTGACAGAACCCTATTTGGAACCAGAAGTACTACCTTTAGACTTCACTGAATACTCCTGAATTCCTCTTTTCAGCCTTTTGTGTGTGTGAGCTGTACCACAGGCTTTATGGTGTACCTGTACAGCTGCCTAATTAGAGTAGCTGAATGATCAGACCTAGACCTTTTTGATAAGTCTAAGAGACGTTTCATTTAAACCTCAGCTTGTTAGTTTTGTTGCATTGATTTTGTCCTCGTGTATTGAAGAAGCAAAAGAGAATTCACTGCCACAGGAGGCCAAGAGGGGCAGTGAAATACCCATCCATGGAGATACTAATAACTCAGCTGGACTCAGTCCTGAGCAACCTGATATCCTTCTCTCTGTTTTGCACTGGAGGTTTGTCCTGGTAACGGCTGATGTCCCTTCTGACTAAAGTTACGCTATAACAGTAGGTATTAACTGCACCCATCATACATTGCAGACATTGAAAATGTGCGACCACCATCCTCGACGTAGCTGCAGGTTTCAAAAAATGTGTAGATATTGCGCTTCAGGAAATGGTTTAGCAGGCATGGTGGTGTTGGGTTAATGGTTGGACTTGATGATCTTAGAGGTCTTTTCCAACCTTAATGATTCTATGATTCTAAGCAGCTTCTAGGTGAGAGGGGCAGAGGGAACTTGCCAACATGTCCAGCAACAAACAAGGCGGAAAGGATGGTAATAGTTAAGAGAAGAAAACCCAGATGGCTGTTGTTCACCGTGAAGTTATAATATTTGTTTTGAATGTGTTTCAGGAAAAATATTTGTTATCAACAGAGGAACAATGGAAGTATGTTAATTTACATATTGCTTGCAAATGTTTTGTTAAATAAATTGTACATTTATAGTGATACCAGAAACCTTTAACATTTTGTTGACAGAAGGGTAGTTAGTAAAGAATTTTCTTTTCTTGAAAAGTTTTACTGGAACTTTTTATTGTCAGTTTAATCGGTTCCTCGGCAAAACAAAATAGCTTTACAGCAACCATTACAGAGATTGCTGTTGTAGTACAATATTTTCCTTTAGGTACAGTAAATACAACGCTTCCTGTCCTTGCAAGTCTAATATATAGAAATGGTCCTGTAGACATCATTTAAATGGCTGCTGGGGGGAGGGAAGGAAAAGCTTATTATCTCCCTGCTGCCGCCTCCCCTCTTGTTAGGATGCACCTTAATTACATTATCTCCAGCTCTAGGTTTGGCCCACCTGCGCGCCCAGCACCAGCACGCTGCCCATGAGAAGGCACCCATGACTGCGGCCGGGGGACACTGAGTGCACGGCACTGATGGGCTTCTTCGAGATACTTACCGCAAGCACACTGTCTGCAAAGCAGATGCGGTATTCTGGGGTGCTTGCATAAAGCTGGGAAGAAAGGCATGTTTGCCACTGGTATCGGTACCCACTTTGGTGCTGTGGCATCTGAGCACAGCACCCATCACACAGCCATTTCTTTTTAAATGCAAAAAAGCGTGGCTCCTGTTGCACTTGTGCTTCTGAAGAAGGGATGCGAAAGAGCCACATTCTAAATCTATATCTGGATTTCTGCACAGTCAAAAGTTTTAATTGGATTCAAAATTTGGCCAACATAGGATAGCAAGTAATAGCAGCACAGAATAGCGTCAGGCTTTTGCGTAGTTCCTTGCTCAAACCTAGATCCCAACCGGTTTAACACTGGCTGTGTCTGAACAGAATATCCGCTGCCCATCAGCCACCGTGACAAAAAGGTCTTGACCCGCAAATCATCGAGGCAGGCGTCAATCAGAACCTGCTGCAGCTCCCTTCCGGACCATATGCACGGTGTTCTCCCCACAGGATCAGAGACAGAAGAGGAAGGGGGACGGCGCCTGTCTGTCTCTCTAGCTTCGTCTCGGGGTGCGGTTAGGGCGCACTCAGTGCATACACAGATCTAGAAGCCAGGAGGTGCTGTTGAGTCCTGAACCGTAGGCCCAGAAAGCTCCAGGTCAGAGGAAAATTAACATTCAGGTTAATTTGAGTCAAGCTCCAGTGAAGATCAAGATTCTTATTACAGGGGCATAGAGGCTCCAATCTAACACAGAAACTCACTCAGCTTTGGTTATGAAGGAAGATGATTTATAGCTCCAAGACCATCCCTTCCTTTCTTAGGGGCTCAAGGAAACTCTTGTTAACTCTAGAAGGAAGATAAATACCAGCTACAATTCTCACTTTATAGGGAAGGAAGCTGAAATGGGATTTTAAGCCTTCTTCTGAGATTGCATTTATCTTGGGCTAAAAGACTATGCGGGGCTCAGATCTGCGATTATTAAATGTCTGCTTAAAATTCAGAGGCATTATGTGTTTGTGGCTATATTTATATTCAGGATGAAGTTATTAGATAAAGAGAAAAGGAGAAGAGGAGGAGGGGAGGGGGAGAAAAAGACAACACTCTGCTCACTACATTTCCTTTTTCAGGAAAATAGCTCCAGGTAAAGACCAAGTATTCTAATCTAGTTTGTTACCTTATATCTTCATGCATAATGACACTAACCTAAATGACAGGCTTACTGTCACCTCTAGGTATAACAAATCAATCTAAACATTTTTTAGATAGCACACATTTTCTTTTCACGTTGCAACATCAGAAGAGGCATGAGAAGAACCATGGCCCTGGATCAATGCACACGGAGATGAAGCTTGTTCTCATTTCAGACTTGATTGTTCCCTGATTGTGCTGCTGCTATGGAAGCAGTTACACTGTTGATCATACAATGTGAATAGCTCGTCAGAAAGACAGCAGTTTTGGAGCTGTAGTGGTTAAGACACCATCTTTCTCAGGTAACAGTTGAAAGTCATGGCATATTCTTAAGGGTTTACATCTAGCAAGACAACGGAGTCTCTGTGGAAAGCAGCAAGCCATGGCTTTTGGTCAGGTGGAGAACAGCTTTTATGCAGGAATTAAAAACAGCTTGTACTTTATTTTCTGTGCATGAACACTGATGCTGTGGTCAGTCTTTCGTAGGTTGAAGCTTTTAAGGAAAAGTCTTGGAGTTATCAAACAACTATTTAATAATAGACTAAGCAGGAGAACAAAGTCACTACCCTTATCTAACTGAAGTAATGCTTCAGAGGATTTACAGAGACAATACAAGCCCCTTATTCATCAAGTTACTCATGCACATGCCTAATTAGAGAGAAAGCTTGCCTTGTGGTTAAGGTGCTAAAACTGGGGCTTATGTTTCTTCTCTGCAAACCTGAGAAAACTAGTGTGACGTGATTTCCACCTCGACCTCCCTATTCAGTAGTTAAAAAAAAAATTGGACATCTCAGAATGGGCTAGTCCTTATAAAGCAATGTGAGTTTTAAGTAAATACTAAACAAATAGTGTGGATTACACAGGTATTTCAGACAGACAGAATTTTAAGCACACAAACAGCTGCTTAGCTTTTCTATCTTCATCAGCTGATGAGAGCCCTAAGCCATCTGTAGATTGAAATCTGTTTTTTTGTAACTGAACTTCTTCATAGCAGTAACAGCAATAACTCTCATGATCAATACTTTATCCCTTGGCAACTTTCCTCAGATTCTGAAGCATCATCACCCCTGATTTGACAGGTCTGTTAAACACTCAAGAATGAAACCTTGATACAATTCACAGAAACTGTTTTAGTAAGGGATATAAAACCAGCCTGACCTGTGACAGCTTGACTGCTAGTGGAGTTTCACAGTGGCATAACATTGCAATACAGAGGCTGTGAAACAGACTCTTCAGCTATACAGAGTTAGGAACAGTGATGAAATGTTTGTCATGGCAACATATACACAGGTGAAGTGTCTAATGAAGTCAACAGGTAGCACAGCTCATTGAGGCTTTTAGCCTCACGTCACCACCTCTCTACCTTTACAAACACACACTCCTAACCCAGAGCGCACACAATACCTAAGCACATATAATATAATCATATACAATACTACTTCATCATTACATCCTCTTTAATTTCTCTTCTAGACCAGTTCTGCTGTATTATTCAATCATTTTATGTTCATGTTAGCATCTCTGTTCAGAGCTTTTCAAGTACTTCTTTCCTATCAATTTTTGCCTTACTGATTTCAACAGACATTTACAATAAGGAACACAACACTGAAGTGACTGAAGTCACCTAGACTGCCAATGTCTTTGTTTTCCATTGAAAATATTTTGCATGAGACTGGTACTGATTCAGTGCTGAAACATGCTGGGAGCTCTGTGCACACAATGACAACTGGCTGGGAAGGTCCCTGGCTGCCTGGGAAGCCTGTGGGAGTCCAAGCAGTATGCACTTTGTGTTGCTTTGGTATTATCCTCCTTAGCAGTACCTAGAGTTAGTTAATGCGTACTACATCGACCTAACTGCTGTCAAAAATTCCAATAGCCTACAATTGTTACAGTCCTATTACTTGTGTAACTTAGTCTTCAGCAACTGAAGCTTCATTCCCAACTACTAGTTTACAGGAGCCAGTCACTCACACCTCCAAAGTGACATAGCCAATATGGAAAAAATATACTTTAAATGCATTTAGTCTAATTTAGGGAGGCTCCAGTACAACTACAACCATCAAATCACTTTAATAAGACTTTGTGATGGTTTTTGTGTTTTTGCAGTGCATTTAAAAAAAAAAACAACACAAAACATCTGCACCAGAAATGTGTTGGGGCCTCAATTTTCAGTGCATAGCTGTGTGGAAGCAGCAAGGCCTCCTTCTTCAGTAAAAGAGGAACTGAAGCAGAGCCTCTTTCAGTAAAAACAGTAGCACCAGAAGCTGAAGTTCACTTTGCACTGAGTTTTGGCAGTTTCGCTTCATGCTCTGTTTAGTTGGGAGAGTAATATATTCTCACACCTACCATCTGTCTATGTATGAAGTTACTTTGTAGTGGTGAACACTACTCACAGTGGGTCTCTGCCAGTAGATGGTTTATTGCGTTTAGTCCATGTTAGGTAACTTAAGAGTGTTTGTCACCAAAACAACTTACAGGTTTGTGTATTAAGTTATAACTGCCTTCATGTTTCATATCCAGATACTTTTGTATAATTTTTGAACACGCTATTGATCTCATTGCATTAGCTTGCTTTCTTAAAAAGCATGTCATGCAATGATAAAGTTACAAATTTCTACCAGTACAGTAACTGCCAAAATCTGATCCACTGTACTTTGAAGACTAACAAGTAGGACAAATGTTAAGATGCAAAGTTGAATGATTAATGAGATCCATACACAAGATAGATGAAAAATAACTAGTATACATTCTTGCATCAGATAAAGAAACCTTCTGATTTAGAAGCAGAAACTGTAAAGATGGTTGCATTTAGGATTTAAACAACTTAGTTAATGCATACAGGAAATTGCCCATTTGACAGAAAAATAAACAAATAAAAAAAAAAAGAAAATCTACCGCTCGCCTAAGTACAGGCAGGTCTGGACTTCTGCATTACAGTTCTTCCAGGTGGCAGTTATTATGCTTTCATTCATGTGCATATCATTTTTGTTTGATTTGGTAGGAAACATTTATGTAGGTCAAAATTTGAAAAACAACCACATGCTCACTAAGGAGAAAACAGCCTTCTACTTTTGCTTGCTCACGCATTTCTCTTACTTGCCATCCATCTTTTGACTGCTCAGTTTATGCTTGTACAGTTCACATACAGGTTATGCACAGCAGTGTCTAATACTGAAGAGAAGAAACCAAACACTTTCCCATGTTTGTAACAACATGCTTGTACCTTTAGGAGCCAAAGAGAAGGGAAATCAGACAGAGAGGTAGAACACATTATTTTCCATGGGAGGGGTAAACCTAGGGCTCCCTTTCTCCAAGCAAAACCTGCTTTCTTTTCTGTCCCAGGAGATCAACAAAACAAGTAGCTAGCCTTCCATTGCATATCATGGTTTGGAAGGCAGCATCAGATGACAAACCTTACTGTCTGATTCTTTGAGGTCAGGGTGGACATTTGCACATACACGTCCCTGCTCTGGATACTCGTGCTTATTCTCAGACACAGTAAGAGCTCAGAGAGAATTGCGCAGTTCTGTTGGTAGAAATAAAGCAAGGGATTGTAGTGACTGACTTCCTCCTTCCCCTTCAAAGTGCTTGGCAGACATATAAAAAAGAAAATTTTGGGTTCTTTCTGAAAGAAAATGAAATGAAGGTCAAAGGGAGCATAAAATCAGCCCTACATGGAAAGGGCATTCATTAGCTTGCTCAAAAAGAACAAAAAATAAAAAGCAGCAACTACTTACTAGATGCAAGAGAGACAGCAACAGCCTGTAGCTTCCAAAAGAGCCTTATCCAGGCTTGTCGAGAATGAAGAATGTCTCCTGAAAAAAAAAAGGGCATGCTGGGGAAGGCTCCTATTTCAAAGAGGCAAGAGCAAAAAAATTTGCAGCAAAGCAGCCAAGGCTCAGCTGTGGATAATTTTGGCAAGAGGGAAGAGATTGCCCTTCACCAGATGGCTACATATAAAGTAACATGGGTGTGATCCTAGCACTGTGGGGGGAAATAAGGAAGAGGTTTTCCTAGTAAGTCTTGGCCTGGAGTAAAATGTAGGCCCCTCTGACAATTGTGTTTTTTCTTCTAGATGGTAGCTGACAGTTTGGGGTTAGCTTCCATATAATATGGAAGCAGATTAGAGAAAATCATCTTTTCTCAGTTACTTCTGAGAGTTTTGTTATTGTTATTTGAGATTTTCAAAAATAAAGATGGAGCCTGTGTTCTGCAAATTCACACTGTAAAAACCTGATTTTCAATAGATTTGCATCTGTGTTCAGATAATGCTCTCATTTCTCCACTCAAATTCTGCACTATTCTAGTTGAGTGAGGTGGAGGCAATTATGTGCTTGCAACAGTGTTATGTACTCTGGGGCATGGGGTGGTAACGAAGAATGCTAGTCTGAGAATTACCATGCTTGAAAAACCAGTCCTGTCCTGTCCTGTCCTGTCCTATCCATTTTTCTCAACATAAAGGCAGGAGGCCAGCATATCAAATGGGGAAGGAAGGAAAAAGCTTGTTAGTGCTCAGACTCTGTATTTTCCCAAAGGACATTCTGACTATCAGGTACTCAGCTGATTCTTGTAATGCAATGTGCTTGCCGTTGGATGCTGTCCATTGATGAAAATTAAATAAATATGATATGCATGGATATGATATTCTCCCCGGCATAATAGAAATCTTAAAATATCTGAGATAGAAAGGCAGATTTGTCATGGTCTCAGAACAAGCTCAAACACAAAAGCCTTACTTCTGGTCCCATAGGTGGTTGCCCATTTTATTGATGATATACATTGTATCATGTGACAGTCATGTAATGAGAATTTACTTTGGAATATACTTGAAAAATGAAGCAGCATAGTTATGCCAGCATTGATTTTTATACCTAAGTAATGAGGCAAATCTTGAAAATATGGTTGGTTGATTTACTTAATGTGGAAACCCCTGCCAATTTCCAATGTACTATCAAATCTAAGCACATTAATTTAAACCTTAAAAAAAAACCCCAAACAGCTGATTTATTATTTCTTTCATGCATATGTTTTTAAGTATTTGAATATGTCTACATCAAAAGAAACTAGATTTTTAGAGACCCAGTTAGCTCGCACTGCCAAGTTAATGAGTTCTGGTAAGGTCAGTCTGTCACAATAAATCTAATTATTACACAGCCATTTTCTTTATGTATGCAGTTTTCCCCATATGCTATAAGATAGAAAGGATAGTGGAATAATGTTGTTCTGTTGAATTTGATGGTGACAGGTATTCTTACTCGCTCAGAGCGGGGGGAATGTTGTGAGGGAAGCAGAGGACAAATGGACATTTTTCAGTTGGTGCTTGTATGACCTATGTAATCTATGCAATTATAAAATGTGAAAGTTGTCTATGACGCTGATGCTGACTTCACTTCTAGGTCTTTTTGAGCTCATTTAAAGTACGATAATGAGAAAAACATTTTACCTTTGGGCAGCAATCTGATTTGTCAGGAAATTCCTCTTGCTATGATCGGTGGATGAGGAAAATTTGGGATAATATGATCCAGATGTTAAAGCTCCCATTTAGCAGCAATGCAGATGTATTATTTTATGGAATTGTCCAGATGGTGACCTTCCAGTATTAATAATAAATCAGTACTGGGATTTTCATCTATATGATTTGATTCCTATCTTTGTTCTCATTTACATGACAAATACTCATGCGTTTCATGTAGAGGCTAATAGTATTGAAATTAACAATCTGGCAGACATAAAAATCAATAAAGAAATTTGAAACAATATTTGAAAACAAATTTGAAATCGCAAACAATATATACCAATTGACAGGATAATAGCATCACCCGAGAAAAGGCTGTGATACCATTTTTTAATTAACTAGGATTTAATTTTGCAGCTAAAGTCATAACAAAGCTCTGTTACACATTTATATTAGAAAGCAGCTACTTTACTGAAGATGTGTGCCTGTTCATTTTTGGCTTTGCCACTTAAGTTCAGACTTTACTTTCAGTCTACTGAAAAAAAAAAAAAGCAACCCACAGTACATAAGCATATTGGAGAGGGATCACGCTGGACACTAGCAAGGCAGGCAGGCAACAGGGAGGCTTTGGTGGCCTCCGATGAAGGCCAGGAGACCTGAGCCTCTGTGACCAGGGATGTGTAGGGACCACTGACCCATGGCATGCCAGAAGGGCTGCGTGCACAAAGGGAGCTCTGGCACTTTTACGGTGGCAAGCAGCAGACTGTGGTCCTGTGAAGCGAGGGCTGCAGGGCAAGAAATGCACGACAGTGCTGTGATCTAATGATGCTGTGCTGTTATCTTTCACAGGTATTTCTATCCATCAATTTATTGAAACTTCTATTGTGAAATACCAGTTTGCTCAATAGTTGCATGCTTTCTGGGGTTTGGTGGAGTTTTTTTTAAGAGTTTCTCGTTTTTTCTTAGGAGAAGAAGAATTCAATGCTGCTTCAGTTGAAATCTATGGCAAAACTGTGTTAGGCTTCGCAGGGAGTAACACACATTGCTTCAGAATTCTACTTTTTGGGCTAAGGAAAAAGATTCATCTTCCATAGCAATAGCTTTATACTCTAAATGGATTTTTTTTTTTTTTTGCTTTTGTACCCCCCCCTCCCCAACCCAAACATAAATTTGAAAACAATCTCTCCTCAGATTTTTTTTCATTTTAGTAACCTTTCTGTAAAGATGCAGGAGCTAACTCTACTAAGACATATTAAAGTCAGTCATGCTTTATCTTTGTCATCATCAGACTTCCACAATCCCAAATCCACGGTTTGCTAATGTGATCATGGAGAGAACTGACATTACAGGGCTTTAGACTCTTCAGTGGGTTTCAAATATTTGCTTATTGGGATAGAAGTAGAATATTTCATCACTGTGGGCAATTCCAGCAAATATGTATATGAAGTTTGATATAATTTCATTTAGAAAAAAGGTCTAAAAGCTGAAGACACAGCATTTTGTTGTGCTGTAGAAAGAGTTTTTAAGAAAATCCTTCAGTAGTGCAGTCATTTAACTGAGCATCATCCCAAATTAATGCAGCCAAATGTGCCTTTCTGAAGTATATATAAGCAGCTTGAAAGCTTAAAGGGAAACTGCCTCCACTGATTTCAGAAAACATGCTCCCAAAGCTTTAGCCCTGAGGTCATTGTATATAATTTGAGCTGGAATACAAACTTTAATGTTTTTTTCAGTAGCACTAATTCTATCAATAGACAGTTTCATTTTTTGAGGATAGGGTATGGGGGTCTGATGAGTTGTATCTCAATGTTATAACCATTTACTGCCCTGGGATTACTAATTATTTACAGGGTGCAAGGCAGACTAACATCATCCTAGGGCCAAAGGCCCTCCTGTGTCAGATGCTGTACAAGTCACAATTTTTGTATGAGTTTTACAGTTGGGCAATCTGTTAGTGAAACCTAACCATGCAAAATGGAATTGTAGGATGTCATTACTTGGAAGTGAGGGACTCAATTTTGCCAACAGCTAGTCACACTGGTGCAGGTGTGAGTTGTTCCTCTTTATTTCACCATCAGACTTCGCCTGTGGAGATCCCTGTCCATGTGGGGAATGCTCTCAGTTGTTACCTAAATGACATAATTTTCAGAGCAACCTGCAAGACTCTCTCAGGAAGAATAACACAATATGTCCTTTTTTTGTTGGTTTTGCTTTGTTTGGGTTTTGGTTTTTTTTTGTATTATTTCTTAAAGGAAGCCTGTAGAAGGAAAAGAGCTAATAAAAATTCTCCTGGAACAAATCTTCACAGATTACACAAACAGGGCCATTAGCAGTTGAATTTGAAGGAATCTTCAACTGCAGTATGAATAAGTTCCTCTAAACCCGTGTTTATCAAACATGGCATGCAAATGAAAACTAATTAAATGAGTTAAAATTAAACTCATTCCATCAGTTCCATCTTGGTTTTTCATTCTGCAGCCTCTTACCATCAGCAGTCATCCCAGGTGTTACTGAGGCTGGAAAGGAACAGGGACCCAATAGTCTGAATTTATACCTTAGAGCCCCCTCTGCCTTCCCAAAAAGAGGTCTGTATTCAGCCTTCTGAAACTGCACCTCTCCAGCCCGGGCTCTCAAAAACATTAATGGTTCAGAGATTGCTTCTGCCAGTTTTTAAGTACTTTAGATTAATTTTATCAGTGGCATACTGACTTGACTACATCTAATTTACCTCAGTAGGTTCTTACCTGTTCATCCCCTCTTCTGGCCTGTGTGTCCCTTCTTCACAATTCCCAACTGTTATTTTTAATCATGTTAGCAATCTGTTCACAATTAGCATTTCTTGTGAAGATGGAAGCAAAACAAAAATGTTTAAGGGGTTTTTTTCCCTGTACTTTTTACTGTGCATTTTTATTCACCTTTAAGTAAGGGAGAAATATAGAAGTGTAAAACTTCTATTGAATTTTTATGAAGACTTCAGTAGAAGGTATCTATCTGGCATTTTGTGCCACTATGCAAAATACGCAAGGTCTTGAGCAGTGTTGTCTTTTCTCTTATCCATAGGTTGATCTATAGATGGTTCCTCCTGCTCTATAGACTGAGTTGTGCAATTGGAATTGTGGGTTATCTAGCCATAACGTTTACCATGTTTGGATTTAATTTATTTGTTAGATAGGTATCGTCAGGTAAAATTGTGATTGGCAACTCTTATGATTTCCTATTTGATAGATTTTACTTTGTTTGCAATGAAATTGCTCCACCGTGGTCTTTTCACCACCCACCTCAACATATGAAACCCTTTTTATGTTGTGTAGCTGTAGGTTCTCTTACTTCTTGATTTTTATAATTGTGTAGTTGGTCTGCAGTTTGATATTCAGTCATTTTACAACTTGTGTTTATGGTGTGAAAAGAGGAGGGAAAAAACCTTAAGCTTCATGCATTCACTGTGTTCACTCATTTAATCCACGAATTTAATTGCTGAATTAATCCTCAGTCCTTCCTTTATGTACCTGAATGGGATGAGACACAAAAAGGCTTGACGTAGAGAACACATTGTAATTCTTTCTGATAGTTATGATTTCCCGCTCTACCAGGCTATAATGCTGCTGGGGGATCCTCCTCTTTTTATTTTGACTATTGCCAAAGACAATGCTCTATGTCCAGATGGTTCTCGACCTAACATTTTAATCCAGCTAGAATTTTTGCGTGGGTAGAATTTGAATTTTCTTTATGTTTGTCCAGGATTTCTGTCTGACTAGCAGCTCAGTCAGAGCTACTGCGCTGGACTCTGTTCAAGGCGCCGTCTGACCAGAAATTCCGAGGATTCCTCAAAAGAGTGTAGATAACTACATAATGCATCTGCTGTAAGTCCAACACTTCTTGGAGGTATTGGAGATACTGCACATACGTAAATCAGTTGTTCCTTCAAGTGTCAGATGTACTGCCCATACACTGTATAGTTGATTCACCCAAAAGTACATAGCTCTGATGGAAAATTCTTGGCAGAAGCTTAGCAGTCTTGTGTTACCAATACTCTTAAGCTTTATTCTTTTGAGGTATTTTATTTAACCAGCTAAATTTCCCCACCAGTATATTTTAAAGGTATAACTACAAAATTTGTAAGCTCTATTTTAAAAATTCTTACTTTGTGCCTTCTTGCAGCAGAAATGGCAAGTCCTTTTTAATGTTGAGAAGCTCCAGTTTAACAAGTATTTGGTAGCCAGGTTTCAGTATTTCAAGCCCTGTAACACATACAATCTCAGAGAGATGACAAGAGATGTTAACATTTTTGAAGATTCTATCAGGTTGGGTTGGGGGGAGAGAAGAGGTAAGTGTTAAATACTGCTTGCTGCAATTTAGCAAAGATTTTATTCTGAGGAATTTGTATTCAGAAGGACAGTGGGCTCTTTCAGCTACAGAAACTTTACATTTCTTTGACTGGCATCTTACACCTTACTGAGATTTGGCCGATCTTGTTGCTTCTTCAAAACAATCAAATACACTTAATTGCTCTGTATAAGAAGACTCTACAAACTCGCTTTCTATAAGAAAATGTGTCAGCTTGGCTTTCCTATAATGGAACAGAGTAGCTGTGGCTCCAAAAGCAGTTCGTAGTCTATTTTCAACATTGCTTGCCTTCAAGCATATTGATACTTCAAGTATGAGGTTGTCTGCTGCTGCAAAAGAAAGTAAAACTAAACCTGCAGTTTGAAGGAAGCATGAGCTAGCTGGAGTAACACTCTTGTTGATATTTTATACTGGTATTTTAGTCAAGCACATACTCACCAGAGTGCTCTTTTGTGGTTTTATGACAGAATGAAGTCTGATGACTCCATGGATTTTGGTGTGATGCTGCTTTTTTACAGACTGTGCTATGGAGTGATGGGAAGAGACTTCACAGAGATTTGTTCTGACAACAAGGCTTCCGCCATTGGTGTAAATGCTGGGGATCATCACCCTGAATACCACTTGCAAAGACTGGAAGTGAGCTCTTGAATCTCTTGTGCCCCTGGGTTCATGAGAATAAGATCTGCTGGATATTCTTGGGGTAAAATAACCTCACTTTTCCTTGAGGAGACCTGTTCATCTGCCACAAACTGTTAAACTCCTTTGTCAAGCTTATGATTAGAAGAACCGTCTTAATGAAGTAGTAGCCAGTGACATATGCCAGGGCCTGATTTGGGGTTTCCAGCAGGCTGATCTCTATCCATAAGAGACTACAAAATTCTCCTAACTGTCGTAGGAAGACAAACTTATTACTTCCCCAAAATTTGTGAAAGACTCTTCTTGCCCTTTCCTTTTTATAGCTCTTATCTTCCCTTTCCAAATAAGCTGATAATCTCAGCACAATTCTCTTCTGTCCCAGTTACTTAAAGTCAAGAGGACGGTTGCTAAAGTTCTTGCATCAGCAGTAAGATTTTAATTACTTGTTGATAACTCTGTGCATCTTGGCACTAGTAAACTAAGACAACTGTAGCAATTTTCATGCTGTCTTATCTTTGATGGCACTTAAAATGTGTTTATGCATCTTTGACTCTAAGCAAATATTTTGTTGTTCTTTGGCTTCTTTTTTTCCTGTAGACTTGATCTTGACAGTTTTACATCATCAGTGGCATACCAATAAGAAATTTGTCCAGTGACATCTGCGTAGTCTGAGGGCAGAAAATTTTTGTGGATATAAATGAAGAAGGGATCATTGAAAATACCTACCAGCTGTCCTATAATCATGTGTGTCCTTTCCATATAATTATGGAACTGTTGTTTTCTCCTCTTTTATGCTGCATTAAAAAAATAATAGCAATGGCAATAAATACCATGAAAAAAAAGGAACCAAAACCACATTCAGAAACAACATAGCACAGAAGTAAAAGTAGGGGCATGAAATCTGTTTCAGTCCTGTGACACAAGTTGAGGCCATGTGGCTTTATGACAGACAAACCGATGCAAGAGTGGCCTTAACCCTGCAGTGTCAGGCCCGAATCCCCCTTCCAGGTACTCGGTGCACAGCCTGTGCGGGTATGCCTGGCAGTAGGTTAGACCAGGCACGCCGACCTGTCGGTCAGGGCTGCTAGTTCAGGCTCCTGTGTGCTGCGGAGGATTTCCTCCGGCTCTGCCTGGGCCTGTGTTTGCTGGGTAGTTTTAAGGCAGATGTGGAACCCTTCTGAAAAGGTGGCACATACATACCCTACAGCCTGACAGAAGACTTGGTGTCTCATACTAGGGGGTACCAAATAACTCAGCGTTTTGCGTGCCAAAAACCAAAGCAAGAGGTATCGCATATGTGCTGGAACATTGTTACTTATCACCCCCTGCTGATGTTCACAAAAGTCTCCTGTCTTCTTGCAAGCTGGAAAACGTGAATACCAGCCTGGATCTTCAGGACATTGGCTTCGACTTTAAAATAATTCCAAATATTCTAAATATTTTAAGTCATCTGAACAAGCTTGGTTATAAAACAAGGCAGTATCCATAATCAGTCATTAAAATTATCTGTTGATGGTTAGACTTGTTTTGCAGATGTATGCACCGGGCCTTGTTTATATTTGAAAGATTCCTTAACAATACACCTGATACCAGCTTTCATGAATTCACCACCATCTGCGGTTGGTTCATTGCTGGCAAGAACCAGGCTTGCCCATACTGCCCTGAGACAGCTGATTTGAAAAGGATGTTAAGCCCGTATCCTTAAACCCATATCCTTTCCCTAACAAGTGTGCTTTCAATTTGTGTTTTCTAATCCATAGCCTGATTACTTGCTAATTCTTGTTTTGATCTGCACTGGAGAGATGCGATGGCCACATTAAATAAATGGAAAACCAATTATTATTAAGAAATAATTATATTTAGGGAAGATGATAGTTCTGGCTTTATCTTATCTAAGACCCCAAACAAGCTAGGAAAAGAAAAGTGCATATGTATTTTCCTTCTTGATTTTAAGACATCCGGAAATCATTTTTATAATGAGAGGAACATTTTAAAGAATGTAAATCACAGTCTTAGAAAGACCATGCAGTGGATTTTGCTCTTTAATGAAGTAACAGAATTGATATAATCCACTTTCAGAACAAGTGCAGTTTTTCCCCCTTCTCTTAGTAGTGAGTAATAGCAAATGAAGTAATAATTGAAGATCTGCTGATACATCTGTAGAAACCTACTTGAGTGGAAGCAAAGTTTGGCGTACTTTTTTGAAGCCCATTTTAACCATATGTCTGGAGGATATTTAAAGTTTACATTACCCCAACAAAAAAGGAAGTAAGTTAGAAGAGTTGAAAAGAAGGAGTTTCAAAATTTTAACCCAATACTTTTTCTTTGATTCTGGCTAAGAAAAGCACCAAGATTTACCTGTTGTTGCATTTTTGTCTCCAGCTTCCTTAACAACAGATTAGGTGGGAACGCTCATGTATTTTATGAACAACTTTTGGACTGGCTCTGCTGTCTGGTGGTTTGACCAACAGTTGCTGTAGGCATCGTCCAAGGCATTAATTACTCACTGGGTCTAGAATAGGATTCAGATTAGTAGTGAGAATGCAAAGTGTTGGGTATTTACCTGTCTACAATAATATGCATATTCTGTACTTAATTTTATAAGATTAGAGAAAATAGCAGTTTGTTGAACTCTGGTGTGCTGTACACCCTTTTGCAGGATAGTGCCTCTTTTGGCATTACAGCAAGACTGTACAGCATGCTATTAGAGCATTTTTTTATTTTCTCGAAGTAAGAATTAAAAGAAATTGCTGCTTTTAATGGGAAAACTGTGCTTCTTGCAAGCTAGAAAATGCGAATACCAGTCTGGATCTTCAGGACATTGGACTTATTTTCTTACTGTGAATATCCCTTAAAAAAAAGGGAAAGAAAGTTCCAATATTTTAAGATTATTTCATTATTAAATATATTGGTAGTGTATTCCAGTTGAAAAGTTGTGCAGCAGATAAGGAGAATTTTAAGTTAGATAATGGCTTTGTATACAGCAAATTCTGAAAAATGGCACTCAAATAGTTTGTTCATTTGGTTAATGTGAGGTAATACAATATTACCATTAGCTTTTTCCCCCTCACCTCTAAGTTGCTGTATTGTAACTTGTATATCTTCCAATGGCCATTTACAAAAACCTCTAACCACAGCAATATTTATGGTGTGCTTGGTAGTCAGATAGGCCTACACGTGGAGGTCCCATTGAGTCCTCTTTGACTTGCTGTCACCGTGCTCAAAAGGCTCAGCTTCCAAGAACCAGCTTCTCAAATAAAGGAAGACAAAGTTACAACCCCTAACCACCAATTCCTATGTTGCTGTTGGCTTTTTAAAAAAAAAATAAATCAGAATGGATGCAGAAGTCTTGCTGCTTAGTGGTCGAATGTCTGACACCTATACTAGGTGAACCTGCGGAACTGAAATACAGTGTGTTTATGCACAAATGGGCAGTTCTGCTTAGGAGCCAAAGAAGTGCGTCTTAAAAGGTAACCAGCCTAGCTGAAGTGCCTTTTGAATGCAGATGAAATATGGTCAGTGATTTAAGAATCTTTACGTTGTTCGTAGAAATCAGAAATATAGGTTAGCTTAATTTACACTTTAATATATGAGAATGAAGCAGAGCTTGTGTGAAGCCATCTACAGATGAAGGCAAGAGTTAGATGCTAAAAATAAAAAACCTCAAGTAAATGAAAGAAAGAGCGAATCATAAGTACATAGAAGGAAGTTGGCTTTGTTTGCTTAGATAAAGTAGAAAGTTAATAATTCTGATAATGCGTTCTGCCTGTATTCATACATGCAAAAAATGCACATAAATAAATCTTTCCTTCATGTTACACTGTCAGAGTTGTGTAATTGTGGGTGTAATGAAAGAATGTTTGTCCTCAGCCTTCTCCATGGCTAGAAAAGGACAGGAAGACTTCTGCTCTCACTGACACTTTGGCTGTGCGGAGAACTTCCTAAAAGCAGTAACACAACAGGTAACTAGCTGTGACATGTGACTTCCAATGTACAAACTTGATTACAAATGTTGAGGGGTTTGAACAGAAATTTTGTACGCGTTAGATGCCCAAGACCGAACCACAACAATAAAAACACTAACTTGGACATGATCTCATCACAGACACAGCAAAATGCGTTTCCACAGGAAGGCTTTCAAGATCTGCTTCTCTACATGCCTGCAGACATCCTACACTGTGCCTAAGCCCTAAACTGATCCAGGAGTTAGTTGTCCCTCTGGCCTACCAGATTCAAGCTGTTAGGGTTCATCAGAAATTTCCTATGAATACAAGGCAGGTATCACCTCAGATACCCCTTTCTTTTTAAATCACCTCTGAAGGAGGAGCCTAGTGCCAGTGTCTCTCATTTATTCCACTTTTTCAGCAATTAGAGGCCTTGTCCCAGCAACCTCCTTGAGAAAACACAGCCCCGGCTGACAGCAAACACAATGTCTGAGGTCAAATGCCCTCTACCCACCCTGTTTTGTGGACTATGTTTACAGAGAAAGCAGAAAGGCAGGCAACACCCTTTTCGTGCCTGTGCTAAGGCTGCTGATCAGAGAGAGAAGTATGGTGTTGGATTCAAAGACTATATATCTATTAGTGTTTCCCATATTCTAGCTGAGAATAGCTACAACTTTATTTAAGCAAGTCAGAAGAGTGTTGGACCCTACTCTGAAGCATCTAATCCCATATATGGTACAAGTAAACTAGACAGAAATCATCCATAGGTGTCTTTCAGCAAGAAAGTTGTCTGCCATAGAACATACACGCTACAACAGCCAGCACCGCAGTGTGGAAGTGCATGTTTACATTAAGCCTCGCAGCCACTTTCCTCAGGAGATCTAGACATCTAATTTACGGTGTTAAAATCCTTGCTGCATAAACTGAGTTTTATTGCATTTGATTAGAATTGGTTCCTACAAAGAATGCAGAAAAGCCCTTGGCTAGGCAGGCTTTCTCCTAAAGCTTTTGCAAAGATTAAGATACATAAACTACATAGCTGTATATCCAAACATATTTTCATCATTAAATATTTAAATGAAGCAGCTTTTGCTAACACTGCTGATTAATGTGTGTAGACAACTGTTGTGGTTTAAACCCGGAAGGCAGCTCAGCAGCACACAGCTGCTCATTCACTCCCCCCGCAGTGGGACACGGGACAAAATCGGGAGGGTAAAAGTGAGAAAACTTGTGGGCTGAGATAAAAACAGTTCAACAGGTAAAGCAAAAGCTGCATGCAGGCAAAGCAAAATGAGGAATTATTTCACTACTTCCCATCAGCAGGCAGCTATTTAGCCATTTCCATGAAAGTAGGGCTCCGTCACACATAACAATTACTTTGGAAGACTAACAAGGTAACTCTAAACATCCTCCCTTCCTCTTTCTTTCCACTACTTTCATTGCTGTGCCTGACGTTATGTGGCATGGGACATCCCTTTGGTCATCTAGGATCAGCAGTTTCAGCCGCGTCCCATCCTAAATCATCATGCACCCCCAGCATAGTCACTGACAGGGCAGCAAGAGAAAGAGAAAAGGCCTTGATGCTGCGCAAGCACTGTTCAGCAGTAACTAAAACATCCCTGTGTTATCCACGCTGTTTTGGTAACAAATCCAAACAACAGCACCATAGGAGGAACAATGAAAAAAATTAAGTCTATTCCAGCCCAAAGCAGTACAAAGATTTACGGCCACAGCTATCAAAAGAAAATAATCTCACAGCAAGTAGTAGAATTTACAGTAGCTCAGCTCTCTGTTCTGGAGATACGGATAGGTGACGGGATGAACATGCAAGGGAAACAAATCCAGAGTACCTTTCCTAGACATTCAGTCTTTAATGTCTCTGTCTAGGATTTTAGAGCTATTTTCAAATTAAACCAAAACATCTCCTGCTGCTCTTCTTCAAGAGGCCACTCCAGGTAGGTCTTTGTGTTCATGATCTTCCGCAGCTTGCAGAACCTCTTGGGAATTGCCTTGCTCTGGATGGGCTCCAGGAGGATGAGAATCGCTGCATCGTTGTTCTCATCAAAGAGGCGGAAGTGCGAGAAGTCCAGCTCGTATTTGCACCACTCGCTCTGCACAAAGTGCTCAGACAGCACAAAGAGTGTTTTGTGGCTCTTCTCTATGGAGTCAATGATGTTGTCCACAATCCACTTCCCAGGCACAAAGTCCCGCTTGTGGAGGCAGAGCCGAAACGGCGGGCAGGCCTGCTCCAGCTCCTGCACCATCACGTTTTCCACCCAGTCAGAGTCATTCTCGCTGTAGGAGACAAAAGCATCGTAGCAGATGTCCTTGGAGGGGACTCGCTTGGGCTTCCGCTTGGCTTGCAGCCATGCCCAGGCCATTCTCAGGTACCAGATGGCGTGGTACTTGTAGCCGACAGCCACGCGGAGGAGGATGACCA